TGAGAAACTTTTAGGTGCTTTAATGGATAATACCACTTCAATGATTAAAGCTCTGAATCAACTTGGTATGAGAGCTTAATGAGAGTAGGGATCATCATTCCCAAAGTGGGATATTGGCTTTCTCCAATATATCTAGTTGCCTGTACGAAAGGATATAAAAGTTTTGCTAATTCATTTATTGAACTCCATTCTTCTGTTGATAAGAAAAGATCTAAAAATTTTGTCACATCTTGTTATTCTTGTCTATTAATATTTTGTTTTAAGCTATTGGCCAATTTTATAATAGCATTACAAAGAAGAAAAAGATTTTTTAAAAGATTATAAGTTGAACTCTAATGAGTTCTTGTATCACTTGAAAGAGGATTAACTTGGTGTTGCGAATTTAATTCAGCTTGTAATTCATAAAGGCTTTTATAGTATTTATCTTTACTACTGATATAACTATTTAATGTTTTTGCTTTACTTATTAAGTTACTAACTTCAGTATCATCAAATCCATCTCCTAATGCAAGTTGTATTGTATATGCGGTGCAATCTAGATGAAAATTAAATTTTGTACAAAGGTTGAAATCCAGTTTACTAGAATTTTTATAAATAGAATTAAAGAATTATCATTGTTTTTGAATTAGTGTAGTCATTGAATTTTGTAAATCTCATGAATTCTACATATTGCTATTGCTTTAGCAATGGTGATATGTGGAATTCATGAGATTTACAAAGTTTAATGATCGCACTAATTCAAGGTAGTTTTACCTATATGCTCTATACCAAGTTGATTCATAGCTTTAATCATTGAAGTGGTATTATCCATTAAAGCACCTAAAAGTTTCTCATATATTCCTCATTTGTCAAAAAGTTGGTGACAAAAATCTTTAATTCGATTCCTAGTGTGAGGATAATCAAAATTTTGAATTATAAGTAATGCTTAAAATAAATTAAATTCAGGACTGATCTAATAAATAGTTACAGCAATATAAGGTTGATATATTTGAGACCAAAGGTTTGTTGTAAAACAAAAAGAATTTATTGTTGTTTGTAGAGTTCTTTAAGCTATTGTTTAGCAAAAAGTACTAACTGTGTTAATTTTTTTTTTAATTTATCGTAGCAGGGAAATTCAAACCTTGGCTCATATTCAAGAATTATATCATGAAAGCAATTATTTGTAGTAGTATTAAATGGTTAAAAATTATCAACAATCTAGGCTAAAATACAATTTGCGATTTTATCTTGCTTTGAAGTAGGTAAAGATGTCTTTTTATTTATAAAATCATATAATGATAGTTGGTTAGAAGCTATTTTAATTGATTAATTCTGATTATTTTCTTTAGGAGACAAAATTCTGTGAATTTGACAAAGGTGAGCTTTTAAATTGCCTATTCCAGTTGATAATTTGTAGTTATTACCACATTCTTTTTTTAAACCATCCTTATCTGTGACTATAACTTTGCAATATATTTTTTTTTAATTTTATTTTGCTTAAAATAAGTCTATACCCAATTTTCTCTCAGATTTGATCTTTTGAAATAGGTAAAAGTATATATTTTTTTTGAACTCTTTTACCTAAACTATTAGTAATAGTAACTCCACTTAACAGAAGTTGATCAGAAAAACTTGAACCTGATTCAGCATCTAGGTTATATACATCTTCTAGTATATTAGATATATTTAATTCATTTAACTCATTTGATTCATTTAATTCATCTTCATTAGCCTAACTTAAAGAATCACTGTTGTAAGAACTAAGCTAATAAGAATTGTGTATTAACATTACTAGTGCAATTTATATTTAAACAGTAAGTATATTGAAGTTTTAAGGTTTTTCTTTTATTTGTATATAGTTTTTACTGTTTATATTATATTACATATTTTTTTTTTTTAAAAAATAAATGTAATTTCATTATCCAAATTTGAGCTAGAGATAAAATTTCAACAATAGAATTATACATATAACTGTTATTTTTTTTGGAGAATTATATGCATAATATAGGTTTTATTGTGTTTTAATCAATTTCATAAATTTTAATCTATTATTGATAACTCGCAATCTAATAATTCAATCTTGATAATTTTAATAAATTCGAAGCCTTTCACTAAAAGGATTGAATGATATCAAATCATCAAAATTGAATCACTAGATTGAGAGTTATCAATGATAGATCAAAATATATGAAACTGATTAAACTATGAATTAGGTCAACAAAACCTATAGTAGTTTGGCTATAAACTGATATATTGCATATAATATGAAGATTATTTTTTTGAGACCTAATTAACAAGTGCACCAGGGCAACTGCCAAAAGTACAAGTACATAATAAGACACCACATCTATATATGAAAATTTTGCAGCAATAAGATGCATGCAGGAGCTAGATGATTCAATAATTTTCTATGATATGGTGTCTTATTATGTGTCCATAGTTCTGGTGATCACTCTGGCACACTCCTAATTAACCTTTGTCAAAGAATAACTATTGTGCATATTGTATGCATCTGCTAAATGAAAAAAAAAGCTAGTTCATATTTTACTAACAATAGCATCAAATTCAAACAATAGCAGTGCATACATTTTTGTATATACATACCCATTTATTAGTATTTATAAGTTTATATTATATCAACTTTAGCCTTATAGATATGTTCAAATTATATCTGAAAAAAAAAGTATTTTAGTAGGTATTCTGGAATTGATTGTATTTTGATGAAAAAACCAAATAATTTCAGCAAGTATGAAAAGTAAGTAATTCGGCAATTATGAAAAACTAATCTAGCTGTGTTATAATCATTTTATTAAGATGGATAATTCAGGCATATATGTATATTTAACCTAAAAATTCAGTAAAAAAATCTGTACCGAATTTACTTTATGCCTGTGAACAGAATAATTGAATGCTATTATAGCTGTTTTCATAAATTTAGGGACATCTGGCAAAAAATTAACTAACCGAATATTTGCTGATTTGATAAGGTTTGATTTGGCAATTATTATTACCAAAATCACAAACTTATCGAATTGGCAAATAGTTAGTGATTAATTTTTTGCCAGATATCTCAGAATTTATGAAAATAGCTGTAAGTAAAAACCAGGAAGCTTGAATATAGATTTTATTTAATTAGTTAATTTAGATTTCCCACTTTCACAAGATGTATTCTTTTAAAAATTTTTAATTTTAGTTTTATAATTATTGTATTTATATTAATGCTGAAAGTAATTCTGTTAAATGCTTTATAATAATATTGACAGCCTATAATAATATAACTATTAGACAGCTATAATAATATAGACAGTCTATAATAATATTGACAACCTAGACCTTTCGAAATACTATAAGAAAATATTAAAAAATTACATTATGCTAACTGCTATAATTTAGACACCATGTATAGAAATTGGTTTTTTATTGAGAATTCTAATTTAAAATTTATATTTTATTTAGTGATTTGAACTAGGTAGATGTCATCTGAGTCACTTGCGAATGGGTGGGTAACCTGGATTAAGTTATAGCAACTCAGGTAAAAATGGGTGGGTCAACTTATGAGTTGACCTATAGGTGACTTGTGAGTTGGCCCACGGGATTAGCTTATAGTTTTGCAATATATTAGCTTCTAAAGATAAATTAGCCAAAATTTTTATTATATCTATTCTTTGCTTGAAGCTATTATTATAATTTCTGGGATACCTGACAAAAATTGGCCAAATGATTTTTTTGTTGATTCAATTAAATTTGTAATTTTGGCACAATAGATTCAATAAATTGATATATTGATATAAATATAATTTGAATATAAAAATATAATGCTTTCAAAATATCTTCATTCAATAATGTATTTTACAAAAAAAAAAAACTCTTTCCGGTGATCACCTCGACCAAAATTGGAGCTAAAGAAAAGTGGCAATTTAGGCTTTAAAATACTAAGAAA